AACCCTGAACCCTAAACCCTTAGAAAAGCTGCAGGAGATGCAGTTCTGGTTCGCTGGAGCGACGGGCACTGGTATGCTGCACGCATCAGTCAGACTTTCGAGGATGGCCGTCACCAAGTTACCAGGTTCCTGAGTAGTACCCTTTTGCCCTTTTTATTTTGGGGTCTCCTTATTAAAACCCAATATTAGGAAAAAGGGTACCCTTATTAAGTAGTGGTCGCTCAGGAACCTAGGTCACCAGGAAGGATTTTGGGACATTTTATGTTTGCCTTATTGGGCCTAAGAGGGTTCAGGGTTTAGGGTTTAGGGTTCAGGGTTTGGGGTTTAGGGTTTAGGGTTTAGGGTTGATTTTAAGAGGATCTCATTTGCGAGACAGTCTTCCTTCCTTTAGAGGGCCAGCCTAGGTGAGTTGGGATCCTCCGTATACGACCTGGCAACCTGAAAGTGTGGCAGCAGACAGCATCATTCCTCGCATGAATCAGCCGCGAGAGATCTGCAACTTCGACGTGGCCGTAGCCTTCGTGAAGAGACTCTTGGAACTGAAAGCCGAACAAGATGCTGAGATGCAACTGGAGGTGGTGTACCACTGGACTCGAGAAGAGAACGTCGCCACAATTGTTGAGAACAACCTGCGCCCTCCTGGTGCCGCAAACGCAGATGGAACCGCAGTGAAAGTTGTGAATGGAGAAGCTTCTGGGTTCGCGTTAAGGAGTTTAGTTTAAGTTACCATAATCATGAAATCCTAATCTTCACCAAAGACCCCTTATGATGGTATCTTAAGAACCCTACACCCTAAACCCTAATCTTCACCAAGGATCCCCTGTTGATGGTATCTTAAGAACCCTAAACCCTAAACCCTCAACCCTAATCTTCACCAGAGATCCCCCTTACGAGGTTATCTTAAGAACCCTAAACCCTAAATCCTAATCTTCACCAAAGATCCCCTTATGATGGTATCTTAAGAACCCTAGACCCTAAACCCTAAACCCTAGTCTTCACCAAAGATCTCCCTTATGAGGGTATCTTAAGAACCCTATACCCTAAACCCTAAACCCTAAACCCTAATCTGCACCAAAGATCGCCTTATGATGGTATCTTGAGAACCCTAAACCCTAAACCCTAAGCCCTAAACCCTAATCTGCACCAAAGATCCCCTTATGATGGTATTCTGAGAACCCTAAACCCTAAACCCTAAGCCCTAAACCCTAATCTGCACCAAAGATCCCCTTATGATGGTATCTTGAGAACCCCAAAACCCTAAACCCTAAGCCCTAAACCCTAATCTTCACCAGAGATCCCCTTATGATGGTATCTTGAGAACCCTAAACCCTAAACCCTAAGCCCTAAACCCTAATCTTCACCAGAGATCCCCCTTATGAGGTTATCTTGAGAAACCCTAATCTTCACCAAAGGTTTCCTTATGAGGGCATCTTGAGAAACCCAGGCATTGGGTCGAGGCATCTACGCTGCAACCAACCTAATAGTCACTATAGATCCCCTAGTAGGCCCTATCATCAAGAAATCCGAATCTTCACTATAGATCCCCTTATGATGGTATCTTAAGAACCCTAAGCCCTAAACCCTAAACCCTAAACCCTAAACCCTAAACCCCAAACCCTAATCTGCACCAGAGATCCCCCTTATGATGGTATCTTAAGAAACCCAGGCATTGGGACGAGGCATCTATGCCCTAAACCCTAAACCCTAAACCCTAAATAATATCTTAAGAAACTCAGGCATTGGGACGAGGCATCTATGCTGCAACCAACATCGAGTTCGGTCGCTCCTACGGCTTCGGCCTCTCCTGCGCCTTTCTGTGCTTGGCAGTGCCAGGCATAGTTCCTAGGTTGAGTTTAGGGTTTAGGGTTTAGGGTTTAGGGTTTAGGGTTTAGGGTTTAGGGTTTAGGGCTTAAGGTGTAGGGTTTAGGGTAGGTTTCCCAGTCGTAGCCCTTTCCCCTTTTTCTTTTTGGGTTCCCTTACTAAAGCCAACAAGAAACCACATGGGTAGCTCTCTACATTAGGGTGCCTTTTGGGGTACTTATGATAAGTGCCCGACTAGATTGGGGACCTGAAAAGGGACCCTGATTTAGAGTACTACCTACTTAGTGCACGAGCTAGTGAGAACCCAGGTTCGAGCTGAGAAGAGAAGCGGCCATCGCCATCGCCATGGCCATCCACAGGGCCTCTGCGAAGGTAGTCTGGGTTTAACTTTACAGTCACTTTATAGCTTTATGACTTTTGGGATTAGCTTTTTTTGGTATTAGGGGTACGAAAAGTTATAATTTTAGCAAGGTAATAAAGAGCAACCCAGGTAGTGATTGCTACCGCCATGGAGAAGTGCGTGTCTACCGGAGATCCGAACACGTCCTTCCCCTGTTCTTCACCGACGCTTCGCAGGCAGCCAGGCTCAAAGCCTGTGCAGTGGAGATCGCAGAGTTTCTCATTTCAAAAGGCCTCGGAGCCAAGGAAAAGGAGACCACAAAGGCCTTCAAGGTGGGGCAGACCGTGTTAGCGCTTTGGAGCGGTGTTTACTGGAAGGCCCGGATTGCCAAGGTGCATCCTGGTGCCTACGACGTCCAATGGATGCCTCCTTACGGTAGCTGGCCACTCTATCGGACTGCTCAGGATGCTGTGCGCAGAGACGGGTAGAAAGACGCAGCCCTAAACCCTAGACCCTAAACTCTAAACCCTGAACCTAAAACCCTAAAACC